CCCTGTGTTACCAAAACAGTTTTCAGCACAAATCCAAAACATAGTCCCATACCAGCTGCTGTGAAGAAAACTAACTCTACCCCAGCCAAAACCAGCACAAGTGTGTATAGCTTCTTTCCTGCAACAGTTTTGAATCACTGAGTCTTGTGGATAAGGTGAGCCATGTGGATAAGGTGCCATGTGGTAGTGTAAAATGCAGTGATTTTTTTTATTCCATGCTTGAAGTGGGAGAAAATTCCATAACTGGAATAATCATTAATGATTGTGATGATAGTGATTCCTAATGTGTTGCAGTTGTCAATTGTGGACACACTCCACAAGAATGAATAATTTGAAGAATACTTGTATGGCATTTGATCTGTGTCTTCTATGAAGTCACTAGTAAAAGGATAGTAAAGGAAGAAAAGGCTTACAGAGTTAAGAAATACATTTGAAAATACTTGCTATATAGCCTTTCATATTAAAAGTGGTTTTTAAAAATTGACCAATAGTTGTTGAAAAATAAGTGGAAAACAGCACAGTTTGAAGTTAAAAATCTGTAGCTATAAAAGGTAAGTCAAGTTTTCAATTTCCCTTAGCCCTTTTACTACTGTGAAGAACATAAAAGAGAAAACTTAAGTATTTTGGTGTAATTTTATTTTGATGTGCCTCACTACTGGAAAGTTTAAGCCTAAAGACTTGTTTTCAATTAACTTCCTTTTATGCTACACAGTGAAGTTTTTTACAGAATGCGAAACCTTCATGCTACGTTGTGCCTTCTGTTGCTACTTTCTAAAAGCTGAAGTTTCTCTGGGTCTATCCTATATTTAGTCTATATGAGGACCTGTTAACGAGTTGTTTCAGCTTCAGATTACAGTGATTGAGACTTTGATAATGCACATAGATACATGCTGTAAAGGAGCATCTGGAATGAAAATTATTTCTCTCACTGCTGTAATCATGTTTTTTTTAAAGTTATGTAATTTCACAAATCGAAGTAGTATGTGGGGGGAAAACAATGAAAAATGCATTAGAGATTACAGAAGTCATTTAATACCATGTAATATTGGTGTTAATGGAACAGCTACTGATATTTCTGCAGCTTTGACCTCTTAAAACATTGGTTTTAATAAAATTAAAATAGATATTACTTTTACGTTGTAAGTCAGTTTTTAGGGTAATTACCATCTATTGTTGGTCTGACAACAGACCTAATGTTATCTAACATTTAAGTATTTTAATAATCTTGAACCTGGATATCTTGGTCCTCTTTCTCTTTAGACCTTGAAGCTTAACTCCCTTTGCTATTTGTAAAACACCCTGTTTCAGGATGTCGTGAGGCTTGTAGGGCTTGTTTGATGCCTAGGAAGACTGAAGGCACTCTTGGTTTATTTTCAACATTGCTAATTCTTTAGGCTGTTTTTGCTTGAATAGTTACGTTCTTTTGAGATCTACGTTAGGACAACATGTGGGAAATTTGGCCTAGGTACATACAACAGTGTTAACTTGGGCAAAGAGCGATCATAACTCACTGGCATTTAAATATATCACAGTGGATGGTTGTAATCCAGCTTCAGAAATGCACAAACATAGGACTGCCATGTCATGAACTGAGCAGAGGAGCAGTGTGTTCTGTTATTCTTGTCATAGCCTTGTTTTAGTAAAAGAGAGCATGTTGTTGAAATGTGCGTGGAGCTGATGGGAAGTGTCAAATTATTATGACATCGGTTGAGTGGCTTTCTGGGTTATGTTAAGTGTGACCATGAGGGTGCCACGGATCTGGAATAGGTATAGAGTACGTTGTGTTCTGAACTTTGATAGCCCTTCTGACCCATAGCTAACCACAACGGTGAGTTTGTAGTGGATGCTTCTTGTCTGCTAGGCCTGAAGATAGGAAAATGTGTTTGTTTTTATGACTTAGGATGTTATTTTAATGTATTTTATTTGGATGTAATTTAGGTAATATAAGGATTTTTTTTTGCTTTCACTGTTAAAAAATACTGTGAGAGGTAGGAATTGTCTCTCTTCAGTCAATGTTCTAAACTGTCTTCTTATGGTGACTGACACTTCCCTGATTTTTTTTTTTTTCTCTCCTGTCTGGGCCACCTGTGAAAATGGATTTAATTTCTACTTGTGCTCTGAACTGATTGGATGCAAGCCAGATTAAGACAAGAAGCCAAGTTGCCCTGCCATCACGCTTGTGCTAATATAAGCTGAATCTCAGCCATATCTGATCTGTCCAAACGGCTTCTGGATTAAATTGACTTTTCTGGTCTGTTCGGGGTATAGGTGAAGGGTGAACTTGGCACTGTTTGTAACTTCCTGTATATGTGTCATCGTAGGTCACACATGCTTAAACCCAGGAAAATGAAGCTCATCTGCAATCCAAAGCTTTCTTTTTTCCATTCAAATGTTCTTTCTTTGTTCATTTTTCTTTCCTACCTGTTCGACGGTAAAGTTTTTGACTGATTGTTTTAGAATAACCTAGCTTCCTCCAAACTTTTGGTGAAAACTGCTTTCTTGTAATAGTAAAACCTTTTCAACTCTGGTTAGTACATGAGTTTTAAGGTAGTCTTTTTTTAATGCAACAGTGACAGCAGCTCCTTGAAATTACTTATGTATACACTTAAAACAAGCTATACAACGCTTCTGCGTACCTACTGGATGTGCTACAAACAACCCAGTAAATGTGTGAACAATCAATTCTTGGGAAAGTATTACGTAACAAGTCCCGTTAAAACATCAGAATTAACGTCAGAATGTAAATACAAGGCATGACTATAATCTGAGTACTCTTGAACAGGTTAATTTTTGTTTAATGCCTGAAAATGTTCATTACTCTAAATTTGCCTCTTCCGTTAGCTACATGTAGAAGAAGATAGTTACTCATTCTTCTTTAAATATGGTCTTTTTCTTCTTGACAGTTTTAAAATTACTCCTTTCCACAGGCCTTTCCTTGATATGGTCTATAATGCACTGGACTGTGCTGAAGATGATTACTATGCTCTCTTTGTGCTCTGTCTTCTGTATGCAATGTCACACAACAAAGGTAAGCACTTTTTGCTTTTCCCAGAGAAAACTAAATGAGACATATGGTTTTAGACAGGCACGATCTGTTTGTAACTTACGTTTTTGCATGCCTTAAACGGTGAGAAATTCTTTACATGGGGGAGGCAGAAATAAGTATGCTGTAAGTAAAAACAGTTGCTAAGGATCACGTTTTTAAGAACGATTTGGTAGAAAGCTTTGTGAACATCGGATAACTTTTCTTCCGTAGGTTTCTTGGAATTGGAATAGGATTATTGTGTTTCATTTTTAATCTTTTAATTTCAGTTGAAGCCCACTATATTCGCTCTACAAATACATAGGATCCAATTCTTTCCCACTTTGCATATACTGTGTTTGCTACATGTAAGCCAAGTATAAAAGGTTGTAAAACTTGTCCCCATATGTTAAAATTCAATCTTTGTGTACTTTAAACATATAGATAATGCACAAGGCCTGAGAATCAGATGTGATTATGGAAGTCATGTGTTGTCTATTTCTATCCAGCTTTGACAGTCCTTCAGTAATTCTTTTTATACTGTGTAATTCCTCAACAGCCTTTTCATCCATTGTGCTATAATTGATTGAAAGCTTGTTTAAGTTGTCAGTGTTCTATGCCATAATACATCTTGCAAGTCTCCCAAGGAGCCTGGACTATTTTATAAACTAGCAAAACTAGGTTAAACGTGTACTTCATTATAATTCAGACAGTATGAGAATATGTAACCTTTTCTAAGGGATTATTATGGTTAGCTTTTTTGCTGTTTATCTTTGTGTGCATTTTAAATAGATTCCTTATGGAGCAATAATGTAAACATCTCATATATGTGGATAATCATGTGTTTCAGGAATCAAGAGCTGAATTAGTTATTTTCTGCTTATGAGGATAGTTTCTATAACATACTAGTAATTTAAATTAATCAACTGCTACAGTAAACTGAGCAAAAGAGCATCAGGTGTGATGGTATGCTTAAAAGTAAGGATTCTGTTCGAGCTTCAAGGTACCTCTAATGGGCAAGTAGAGTGGAAATGAGAGTCTTGAGGGAACTAGCTAAGCTGAGCCCTTCCTGTTCTCCTCCATCCTCTTGATGGTGTTATCTCTTTCCAGGAATGAAGGAATGCTTCTCTGAGATCATAATTTACAGACTTCCAGGGCTTTCAGAGTCTCTTATGACAAGAGATACTAACGCAACTCATATCACCAAAGATAGCACCATAGCCTTGCCATGCTCTAGCCCTCTCTGACTTGCATCTTTGATTTCCCACCCACCCCTGCAACCAATATACTTCTTCCAGAAAATGTCTTTCCCTGAGGGACTTTGAGCATCACTGTGCTAGAAAATCCTGATGTCAGAGTTAGATTCTATGATTCTATGATTCTCTTAAAATTCATTAGTTGAGGCTGCAAATAGCCAGAATCATTAGCGTTAACTGTTGCGGCTTCAGAGAGTCCTCGGAAGTCTTTCAATGTCATTGTGAAGGAGTAAGCCTGCACTCTAGGGTTGTATTTCTTAAGAATTCTTTTATTTAAGACTATAGTCCTTCAGCCCATTGTATTTGCTTTCAGTGTAATTAGTCACTCTTCAATATCCTGTTCCCAGAAAAAAAGTCTGATATCCTGTCTTGTTTCAAAGATGATTTGCTTACATCTGTAGTATTGCTGTAAACAGTGAGGATTGCAGCAGACGCAGCCTCTTGCTGCTTAGTTTCAGCAATCTCTGTGCTGTTTATTTTTCACCCAATATCCAGGGTTACCAAGAGAAATACAACAGGCAGTGAAATATCTACCTTTTAAGAGACTAAAAGTATCCTGGCCCTAAAACTGGAGATACCTTTTATGCATTTAAGGCGTCAAAATCTACACTTCATTCTTTGGTGGTCACGTCAGTCCTCTCTAAATGAAAAATTCTTTAGGCTATACTCATTGGCTTTTCTTGTCAACAATTTACATTAGCCTGTTGGTCTTTGGAAGCTACTTTCCTTTCTCCCTTTATCCTTGAGCCTAGATCTTAGGTGCTAGACAGATAATGACATCCAGTTTTGGTCTTCACCCTTTCACCAACCCATTCCTCTTGTGCCCTGTAATAGACTGCTTTCAGCCTCGAGGGCCACGGAATCAGTGCCTCTATGTCTTGAAGAGGAGGGGTTTTACAAGCTGCTGATTTAGTGCCCCTGTTTGATGCAAGAGCGGAATGTTGTTCTTTAAAAACTCAGGAGATGTACAGCTGGTCCTTTCTACACCAAATTCAATATCAGTTATGGAAGGTGCTTCAGGATTGAGCTGGAGCCAATGCTTATGTCTGAATTCAGTATAATGGAGGAGCTCTGTCTGCTTACAGACTTTCTCAAGGGTTGATAATGCTTTTCTTTTGCAAAAGGGTATGAAAGTCTCTCTCCAAACATGGAGAGGCCAAGTTGTTTCCCCAGTTTCGGGAAGTAATAAATCTCTAGGAGTTGTGTGTCTAGGATCTGATTATCTATTTACTGTCTATCTGACAGAGATGGTAAATGCTCTAGTGAACGCTTGAATCAGTTCAAACAAACAGGTAATGAATTGGAAATTTAGGATGATTTCTTGTGACTGAACGCAACACAAGCTTGTCTTCTCTAGACCACAGGAAAATGAGTTGCAGTTTTCTATTTCAGTGTATTGGCTGTTTCAGATTTGTTTCTGATTCTCTAGCTGCTCAGTTTGAATTTCACCTTTCTGCCCTGTCCTACTCATTGGGGCACTGTGGAGAAGTCTACAACAGAACACATTCAAAAAAATCTGAATTGCCCTAGCTTAACCAAGAACTTTGGTTTCAGGTCTTGCTTCTAAGGGAGCAGCCTTCTCAGTCTCTGTCACTAGATGTAGACACCTTATTGAGGCTTTTGGTTGTGACTCCTACTGTTTGGATACTGAGTCTGCATTTTTCACCATGTTCTTGAACGAGTTTAAAGAAGACGTGCTTGTTTTTCACCAGCAAAAAATATCTGTGTGAACAGGAAGAAAGAATCCCAAGAGGTACATGTATGCAGCTAGATAGATTTGTTGCAAATTGTATCTGAGAGATCTTTAATCGCAGAAGGAGCCCTTCATATATATTGCTAGAGCATGTACTGTATCTCAAGAATGCAGAACTCTGCATCCTTGGCAGGCAGACAACCAAATTAAAGATGTTGAATGTGAATTCTTTCACAGTGATTTCAATTTGGCCACTTTGTTGAACTGGTCCTGCCTTATTCCTCCCCCATGTTTTCTTAGTCTCCTTAATGGTTTTCTGGTGGTTAATTACCATGTCCTTCTGTGAGAGCTTAATCTGCATATAGATATTCTCTAAGAAATGTTACTTATACGCAGCTTTCCTTTCCAGAAGGAAAACTGTAGCCCTTTACTAAACTGTTAGATTATTGTGAACACTAATACTCTAATTGCCCTGGTTCCTTAAATGCTTCCTTCCCCCCCACCCCTTTCTTCAGTCTCATCATGACAGAGAACATTTGTATCACTGTCATTAATCTTCAAACAGACCTTTATTAATTGCTCTAAACACATATACTTAGTGAAGAAATAAATCGTATATCACAAATGGCATTGTTATGTAGAGTTAACTACAAGCTCAGGGTTGGAAGAAACTATAAACCGCAATATAGTCATCTTCTGTTTTATGGGGTTGTTTATTATCATTCTTTAGAACAAGGACAGGGAGATCCTCAGCAATCCATAACTATGTTTTGTTCTTAGAGGTCTTACAGTAATCAGTCTATTCTGAGAAATAACTTTGGTATTTTAGAGGAATAGGTTGAAGAAAGATGGATTTAGTTTCCTTATACAACAAGTCAGTGAGAATCTGTGACTTGCATTGGGGAGGGTATTAAATAAGAGGCTACTAGTTACAAAATAAAATTCCTATTTTTTAAAAACATACACGAACTGATCACTTACTACCAAAGCGGAATTTAAAATCAGACTTTCATCTTTTCCCCTTTAGCCTTCATGCTCTTCAAATGTATGGCTTGACTTTTATTTGATTTAGATGCAAACAAATAGTCTGAGAATTCCAGATGCAGCAAAACGATTTGGATGTCACCAACCACTTCGGGATTTGATTGTTGTCACCCAGTAGGCTCCATTTAAGGCTGAGATTTTTCAGTGATACATAAATATGTTTAGTCTTTCTGTTGTTCCTCCTTTTCCTTGTAATAGAAATTCGAAACTAACTTGCCCAGTTTTGTATTGCTAATTACACTCTTCTGAGAAAACTGCCACAGTCTGTTAAATACTTACGTTGAGGCATACTTCTGTTTTCTAATTTACCTTTCTTCCTTCATCTCCCACAAAAGGAATTGACCCAGTCAAGCTGGAGAGAATTCAACTTCCAGCTCAACATGCTGAAGAGAGAAATTCATATAATCATGTACTTGCAGAAGGGCTCATCAGGATAATGAATTATGCTGCACAACCAGGTATCACTTTTCCAATATTTGTTTTCTTGCCAAAATGAATTTTTGAAGATAAAAACAAAAAACCCGGCTACCTAGCCTCTTGTCTTTGAGGGGAAAGCATCTGTTTAACATGCTCTTTGATGAACAGTAAGTAGATATGGTCTGTGAAAGACAACTATCAGGTTTGCCTTGGTTGCTGAGGAACCAGAAACTCTGGATTTCTGCTAAGTAGTTGTTTTTATACTCGGAACTATACAGGGATCTATTGTTTTAATTCCTACTTTCTGTGGTTTTGAATAAACAAAAATGATGAGATGTATAGTGATTTCAGCTTAATGTAGGATTTCATCCTGAAAATATGATCTGTGGCACCTGTGCTTGTAAAAGTAATTCCAGTGGAGTAGTAGTCTTGAAAACTATATGGTACCCTTTGCTTATAGCAGTCCATTGTCTCTAGAGGTGATATCAAATTTTCCCATGATTTTTTTTTTAATCTGTATTGTGTTTTCAGTTCTGAACTGTTTTGCAGAAAACATGGGTTTTTTTCTTGACTTCAATCTTTTTGTGAAATGAGGGATACAAGGCTCGGTGACGTATTCCATGGAAACATGATTTTTGTTCAAGCCACAGCTCTTTTCCCTGTACTTCCTCTCTTAAAACTTCACATGAGTAGAACTGGTTTTCCCATGAAACTGATGCACTATCAAATTCCTGATTGTCTGCAGAATAAAATCTAATGCTTGTTTGACTCACAAGACTGATCTACAGAGTATTAACTTGTTATGCTGATGTGTCAGTCACAGATTAAAAGCATATTTATATATAAAGAGTTTGTACATACTGCAGAAGGAAAG